CTGCTTCTGGGGCTATTCTCTTCTTATTCTAAAATTTATACAAGTAAAACTCTTGTCTGCATTCATCCCTTTAGGAAATAATGAATTAGAACTGATCTGTGTATTATCTCAGCTCACAGTGAACTAACGGAACACAGAACAAAGAGCGCTCCCAGTTTCCCTTCATCTCTGGCTTGTCCGCTGAATATTAAATTGAATCAGTGTCTGAGACATGGCTTATATCTCTGGAAGAAGACGAAGTAGTGTCCTGTTTCTTTGACATTATACTGAATTTTAGACTTTTGCCTTCCTGAATTATTTTTTACCTGACCCCGCAATTCCTCCTTTTCCCAGGAGTCTCTCAGTAGTCTCCCACTCCATCCTCCTCACAGCCTGATCACATGCTCCCTTTCCACCGCCCTCAGCCCACTCACAAAATCTCTTCTATGTCACCTTCCCCGAGAGATCCAGATGTCCTCCCTTGAACCTTTCTTGTCACCTAGTCTCTCTGGGTCTCTAGCCTAAAACCCACGCCAGGAGAATAAGCGCATCCCTGATACTGCCTGGAGCACCAGGACCCACAGTCTGGATGGCCCAGAGACCTAGGGTAGAATCAAACAAAATGTCAATGCAATGATGCCCAACAACATTCTGCTACACTCATAGATTGGTGCCTTCCCCAACTGTCAGCACAGAGGCTCCATCCAGCAGCTAATGGAAATGGATGGAGCCCCTCAGCCAAACATTAGGTCGGGTTCAGGGAATCCTGCAGAAGAGAGGGATAAAGGATTGTAGGAGCCAGAGGGGCAAGGACACCACAAGACAACTCATAGAATCTAATAACCTGGGCTCATAGGGGCACACAGGAACTGAACCGACAACTTGGGAGCCTGCATGGGACTGAACTAGGTCCTCTGCATATTTGTTACAGGTGTGTAACTGAGTCCTCTTCTGGAACCCCTAATCATGGGAATGGGGGCTGTCTCTGGTCTTTGACTCTTTTACTGGCTTTTGGGACCTTGCTCCTCATACGAGTGGGTTGCCCTGACCAACCGTAATACATGGGGAGGTGCTTAGTCTTAACTGCAACCTGATATGCCATGTTTTGTTGTTATTCATGGGAGACCTTCCCTTTTCTAAACAGGCACAGAGTGGATTGGGAGGTGAAGGGGCAGGGAGGAGAGAAGGGATGAGAAACTGCAGCCCGATATTTAAAAAAAAAAATCCTTTGTTTAGAGTTTATAAAGAGGCCAGTCATAGTAATTTCAGATTACCATTTTTTTTTAATTTTTAAGGTATTTCAGTCCATGCATAGCCATGCCTATGTGTCTTCTTGTGGGTATCTCCACACAAGTGCAAGTGCCCTCAGAAAATTCAGGTCTTCTGGAGCCAGAATTATAGGTGTTTGTGGGCCACCCCTCTGGGTGCTGGAGACCAAACTCAGGTTCTCTGGAAGAGCAGCAAGAGCTCTTAACTGTGAAGCCATCTGCCCAATCCCAAGACTGCCATTTTCTTCTAAGTACAGATGTACGATTTTCCCCAAATTTGTTTATCGCAGTTGCCAAGACTAAGTTCTGCTATTATTTTATTACATCACTTTTGTCCAGTAGTTTTAATAAGATCTCTGTCCCTTTTTCTCATTTCCCCTTCCCTTCATGAAAAAAATAGATGAATTTCAAGCATGGAAACTTCCAACTTACTGTTTCAAGCCACATTTGCAACAGAACAAAAGTATTCCAATAGAGTTCTCAGTCCTTCTCATCCAGCACATAGAGTCAGCGGTGCCCAGTGTTTACAGTCATTGGGATATGAGCTCTCTAAGTTCTTAGTTAGCTTGTCAAATTGACTGTTGATGTGGTTTCATTAAGAAGACAAGAAACTGGTTGGAATTAACCCTCAGGAGCAGCTTTGTACACTGGTGTACACCGTTCTCCATGCAGAGAGCCCCATCAGGTTCACGCATCCCAGAGTCTCACCTTTCCTGTTTCCGTGCACTATTGCTGAACAGTAGATAGACTCCACTTCAGTTTTTCACAGCTTATTCTTCTGTTGACAACTGGACTGTATTACCACTAAGTGGAACATCTGTAACGGGGAAAGACAGATGCAGGCGTCTCCAATGTGAGGGCAGGATGCTCTCTCTCTCTCTCTCTCTCTCGCTCGCTTGCTCGCTCTGTCTGTCTGTCTGTCTGTCTGTCTGTCTCTCTCTGTCACAGTCATGCTCCATATTTCAACACAATAACTCTCTGCAGCGGTCCCATCATTTCTAAACTCCTGTATCACTCGCAAAATTCTTGGATTAACTTGGTTGGATATTAAGGCCACTCACTCAATTCCCTTTCAGTAGAAAAAGAAACATGGCTCAACCCTCCACAATGAACAACAGGCAACCAAGGAAGGCTGCAGGTGGAAGGAACCATCATCCCCAGGGAAGATCACACCAACTGCTTACCTAACAGTGAGCTAACAGTTCTGAAAACATGTATACACAAATAACATACAGACTGAACATGTTGTGTTTATGTATTTAGAAATGCACATACACACACACATTCCTATCAACAATTCAAGAAAAAGAGGCTATGGATTTAAAATAAAACAAAGCAAGGAAGCCACATGGGAGGGTTTGGAGGCCAAAAAATAGAAGGAAACATTAGGGAAAGTGAAACTCCTGCCCAAACCTTTGCCCTCATTAGTTTTGGGCAGTTTGAATACTTTTTCTTCAGTGGTTGTGTATATCAGCAATCTCAAAGGCTTTTGATAACAAAAATGTTGAAAACCATGAAGCTCTGTAGCCCAATCTGCTCTTTGGAGAGACATTTGACTTTGTCAGTTAGGAGAAATGGAGGAAGTTGAAAAGGAATACGCTAAATAAGAATTTTTAATATTGAGCACTGGCACGAATTCAAATATTTATGTTATTCAAATATTTAAGAGTTGAAGAAAAGGGCATTTCCTTTGAAATATTCTTTCAAGCCGTTGTAAGTATAATATCATACATTTTACCTATTAATATTATACCATATAATATTCAATAGTACTTTAGTTAAATTGATACTGTGAAGGATTTTACTTTATAAAAGAACTATCTTGTCTTACAACTCTTTTCCACTTTGCAACTAAGTTCTGAAGAATGCTGTTCACGTTTATTGTGTCTGTTCTTGCCTCCCACTCCAATTTTACCCATATCACCTCATTCATAATTGCTCTTTTCAGACTCACTAGCACCACTGCCAATGCAGTAGGCAAACCTCTCTTGTGGCAGCGCCAAGGCTTTCTATGGAATGCTCCTGTTGTTCCACTGATTTTCAAGCTCAGACTTCTAACAGAATGTTTTCTCTTCCAGAACTACCATTTCCTTTCACCCTCTCTCAAACCAGTCCATTACAGGTGCTTCGGGATCAAATCAGTAGCTCCTCCATGATAAAGGCTTCCCCGAGGCCTTGCCCGCTGAGCCGAGGGAAGGTGGTCCGCTTCATATTTGCACAGACTTTCACACAATCCCTCTCAGAGCCCGTTCTTCCCTCCCAGGGAAGTCTCTCCAAAAAGAGGGAGCAAGTAGATCCTGCTTGATTGGCAGCTATACCCAGCACGGTCCCTGATCACATCATTTGGTTCTTTAAGTTATTTATTTTACTTGTGTTTGTTTTATCCCAACCAACTCCTGCTTTGGCCTAAAATCTTAAAAGTTTATTACTCACAAGGGATTCCTGATTCTAAGTTTTAAGATCACAGTGTTAAAGAGTCATACAGATTACCTTTTGAATATTGGAAGATGCAAAATTGGACAGAATTGTTATCTATCAATGAACATGGCTAGTCAGTCAAGACAAGGACTAATAAAGTCACATATAGTACACGCATACTGTGACGTTACATACGTGTGTTGATGATGATGATATGACAAGAATGGTCACCATCAAGTCAGAGCATTGCAGGTCAGACACAAGATACTATTTGACAGGTGGCAATCAGCAACACTCCCAATATACGATTTTCAGAATGGAGTAAATATAACATGAGATTCATTATCTTAATCAAATCATTGATATACGGGGGCATTTTCAATCTAGAATGTGGATACCTTAAGCATCTTCAGCTCTTTCTGCTGCCTGTTTACTACCTGGGAACTAGGAATAGTATGAAAAATGAAAAGATATGAAATGCATGTTTTAAATTTTGCTTTGGGAAATTCTAGATTTTAAAGGATTAGTGTGGAGTGGCAGGAAAAGATAATCAATAAATGAATTTGGGGAGTCTCTGGAATTCATCCATGCTCTTCCTACCCCCTAGGATACATTTGCCTCGTATACAAGAATTGCCAAATACGTCAATATCATTTGAAGGTTTCTTCTGTGTTCTACCACCTTCCCGAGACACCTGGCTGGGGGAAAAAAGCCTCTAACACATGGGCCTTTGGGGAGACATTCATGATCCAAACTAGGACAGGGCTGCCCAAGAACTCTGCAGACTCAATCCCCCCCCCACCCCCGCCTCACGGACACCTGCCAAGGACACAGGCAAAATAACTTGTGTCGCCAGATTGCTTATTAAAAACCAAAGCTTTCCACTTAATGCATGCATAGGAATCTTGAGAGTCACATGAGAGCCATCAGGTTAAAATTAGACGGTAGTCCTTGCATTCTTTCTCTTACCTAATGATAATACATAGATGTTTCAACAAAATTCATAATATATGCAAAGCATCGCAATATTAGCTGAAAGTGCTTACGGGTCTATTCTTTCCTTGGAAATTGGTGCTAAAATGTTCAGAGATGACCTTTTAAAAGAGCTGCTTGCTGTTTGTCTTCTATGCCTCCCAGAGATTCCTTGACTCTTCGACAACATGCATCAAACATTAAAAACTACTGCAGCTCTCAACATGTTTTAGAGCCTGGCTCCCTCATCATGCTTTCTAATTATGCACAGAAGTAGTTTTGGTTCTGAACTTCCACAACAATTAGCCAATTCGGTTCTATTTTAAAGTGCTTATAAAATTCATATGAAAGGATATATCATTATTCCCAAAGACTTCCAACATGGGTTTTTAATGGGACCATGTCCAAGATTCTTCCCATTTGTAACTCATATTGATTTCTGGGATAGCTAGAGGTTGTAGGGCTTTGTTTGTGGAATTGTATTTCAGTAAAAGGCCTTGCTAGTATATCATATGTGCCTGGAATATTATTCTTGGGAAGGGAAGGCTTCATCTATGGAAATTTTCCTTACTATATCATTTTGGGTCATTTTTGTTCCTTTATTATCCATTTAGCATTGTCTAATTTTTGTGATCTTTCAAAATATCTGGCCCTTCTGATGGGCTAAAGAGATGGCTCAGCAATTAATAGCACTGGCTGATTTCCCAAACAACCTGGGTATAATTTCCGACATCCTCAAAGTGGCTCACAACTGTCTGTAACTCCAGTCCCAGAAAATCTGATGTCCTCTTCTGACCTCCTCAGGTACCAAGCACACATGTGCTACTCAGACATACTTGTAGGCAAAATATCCATATACATAGAATAAATTAATAATCATAAAAATTTTAAATATTTCTTATTACATTTATAATTGAATGAAGATACAAAAATTAAACCTGATTTTGAAAACTAGACTGAAGTATTATATTTTAATCATATTTTCCTAGTAACTACTGATATTGAAGACCAATTAATTATGATAAAAATACACCTGCAAACATCTCTTGTTATTCAAATGTTGGACCATATTCTTCTTTTTATACTAACACTATTTATGTTTTAATACCCAGAGTTGATAGATGTTAGGATGTCAGAAAATCAGATCTTTTGAAGTAACATTTCAGCTCAAATACAGTATCAAGTATCTATCCTCATTATTCGTGGTTATTCTCCTTATTGAGTGCAGTTCAGATCATTCATGCATACATTTTGAGTTGTTCCTTGTAATAGGAAATTGTGAATAGATTCCCTGTGAGGGGCCAGGTAACAGATGATAGAGTTAGAAGAAAGATCTCTTATAGAAATGTTGCATCTCTGATATTTAAGGTATATTCCATAGTTAAAATAATTATGAATTTAGTTTTATGATGCAATATATTTTTTCCTATTACAAATTACTAAGACCAGTGGCACAAAACCAACTTCCAAGGGAGTAAGTCACTGTCGTGAAGCAAGACTCCTGGGAATTCAGGCCTGTTGTCTCCCATATATGCCCAGAATAAAAGATCACAGCCACCATTCCTGAGGCATCAGAAGTCAGATGTTTGCTTGAGATTGCAATGATCAGTTTGACTAGGAGATGGGAGGAACCCTGTGTCCTGAACTGGGAACCTCGGGAAGTTGTGAGAGCATCACTGTCTATAATCTGTGGGCAATAGATAAACGGACGGAGGAACTGCTGAAGATCCACTCCGGAGCATCTCCACGCTTCTCTGGCTGCTGGTGGTCTCCCGCAGGCCATCTCCCTTAACACTCCGGGGTCTGGATACCACAAAGACTGTAACATATAGGAAAATATTGTTAAGGGATAAGCAAAAGTGACTTAACTAAAGAATATCAAATGCTCCTGTTCATTATGATAGCTTACAGAAGGAATTAAAAAAAGAATACAAACTGACTTCTACAAACCATAGGTTTTCCATTGCTGATTGGATTTTTTTTCCCTTCAGTAAACTCCACTCAGGCACAATGCTGTTTCCAAAGGCTTTCCCTGGTGCTTCAAGTCCATAGTGATCCTAATCCTTGGGCAATTCTCTGATCCACTCCTGCATCCCCCAGGAGAATGGCTGCTGATCAAGACTTTCTCACAATTGAGTGTTGACAGCCATCTTTTGTTCTGTTACTACATATTCAAATATTAAATTTGTAAACTAGTAAAAATTCATTTGTAACAAAAATAGTAGTATATTATAAATATATACTATAAATAGGTTACTGTTGAAGTGTTTGTGTAGCAGGCATGAGGCCCTATGTTCAAATCTCAGTGTGCACGTGCACACACACACACACACACACACACACATATTTACATATGAAGTAGGAATTATTTGCATGAAAAAAGTCAAAGATTTTGATAAGCCTTAATAAAGGGTTATTTACAGTGGGCATTTATGAAGCAACTGGGCAGATCAAGAGAGATTCCATATTGATAATTATTTTTCATGGACCTTTATATCCTAGATCCACTTAACAGAAAGGAAACTGGATATGTAGATGTCTAATGCCTTGGATATGTGATTTATGCAAGGAAGACAATGTAGAATTTGCCAGCAGTGTTTTGGCAGCAAGACTTGGGCAAATAATGTGAACTTACATATTATTATCCAAGCAGAAGACTATGGTGCACCATGTTAAATGGATATTTCCAGGCAAGAGATACTGAAGAAAGGTCCTAGAAACTGGAATTTTGAACTTACACTGAAATCCAGGGTTTGTTGCTTAACTGAAACTTTGGGAAACCAATGACTTAACTTATTTAACTCCTTTGGGAGTTTGGTCTTGCTCCCAAATGTGGAGCATTGAAGGCAGTGCGGGAGAAATGGTGGGGAGAGCTTGATGCTGTGTTGTGTATATATATAAAAAGAAAACAAACAAACGTGCCCAGCATAAGGCCCAGTATATGGAATCCCCGACCACCACCATGTTTGCCTGAATGCCACTAACAACCCCAAGGTTTCCATGTGTTGTTTTTACTAAAGACATGCTCATTAGTTTTTGGATAATTATGATGAGGTCGTTCAGGAAATCATAGCTGAGTGTCCTATTTGTCAAACACTAAGAAGTGCTGGAGAATACATTTGAGAATTCCCATACAGTTCTCTGCCTAATCTCAGACACTTTGGCATTATATGGATATCAAATCAGAAATTGCAAAAAGTTGCATCATTTTTTTTTATCTTGTCTCATAGCCAAGCACTAAGTAAAAAGAAAGAAGTCATATTAATGATGATGTATAAGTATCTAGCACTAAAGAGTGTTTCGGGAAATATTCATTCTTTCACTTTTTAGTACACATGCATTGATCGGAATATCTGTACAGGAAATGGTGTCAAAGTGGGTAGTGACGACATATAAAGTAATAACTACACAGAAATGAAATGTGTTGTGGAAGAACACAAAATAGATATGTGATATTCCTGTACTTTACTATACATAGATCTAAACAGTATGCCCACAGAACCACACTTGGGGTTAAGTTGGGTAAGCCCTTACACGCTGGTAACACTGTGTGTTGTGCATATGAGCCCAGACATCAACTTAAACAAAGATGGTAATCTTGGCTTTGCTTCATAATACTTGGTGGCCACTGGGAAACTTGCTAAACCTACAGGAAGTGTCAGCTGAAGGGACAGCATTACACAGTGGCTGTCATTATGACGGGAATGAATCTGCTCAATGCTCAGATTGGGCAGTGAGTGTCAAAAGATGTCCCTTGGATCACAGGCTGCCCAGACACCTGGGACTATCCCATGGGCTTGTTTGTGACTTGGCCCCCTATGCTGTCAGCTTCAAATGGCTGCCTTGTTTTACCTTTTCCTTTGACTGGTTCTACTTTAGTGAAACAATTCTGTTCCTTGCATCCATGAGGAAGCTGGAACTCACTAAAAGACATCAACTTCACTTCCAAGGAAGTTTTGGTGTTCTTATCTACTCAGCTGTTTGCTCAGTTTTGCTCTACTTCGCGGAGGGACAAGGTTCTGATCCTGGACAGCATGTTTTTTATCCTTGTGTTGATACTCCATAAAACATGAAAAAAATCTATTTACAGAAACCATTTTGCTATATGTCTTGATCCCTGGAGGAGATGGGGGTGCTGCCAGGATCTGGCATACTTCAGCTCCTCTGAATATCTCCTAGATAATTATATAGACGGGCTGATGATTATTAAAAATGCTTGAACTAAAATTCCTCCTTTGGAGAAAAGCCATATTCCAGCACCAACTCTAGCACCTTACATCAGCAACAATATCAACACCCAGTGAATATTTTTGATGGGATTATCTTGCTGAGTGGCTGACCTCCGAGGCCTCACACAGTGTCCTAAACTGCATAAATGCCATTGGATAAACCTAAAGTTCCATTCCGGGGGGTGGGGGGTAATTCATAGGCAAAAGCTCCAAGAAGTTTATCTGAAGCATGTTGTCCTCCAAACAGCTGGAACTTCTTAGTAACATATATTTAGGCAGTTTGTGGAGAATGCAAACTGTTTGGTAAGAAAACCAAAATCCCTTACTCAAAGAATTAAAAGGAAAGGGGTAGTAAAGACCCCAAATGCCTGTGACTAATAATTATTACAGAGGGGGTAGAGGAGAGAAGGAGGGGGAATGGGAGATTTTACACTACAAGTAAAAATTAAAAGCTATTTTATAACCTCCTTCATCACTTCAGTTTTACTGGTTTAAAATGCCAAACAACACATGGGAAGGCTGATGACCTTAAATTAATTCCCTAGATTTGCCTCTGAGTTTAATAGTGACCCGGTTCCTGCCGACTGACAGTGAGAAATTGCCTTGCTATAGGCAGTGTGTGGCGCCTTTAACTGTCTTTGTTCTTATCCTTAGAACACAATCATAACTAGAGAAAAACTCATCACATTAATCTCTGGTCCTACATGCTTCACAAAATGGCTTGGAAAAATTAGCTTACATGTTAAGAGTCCTTAGGAACCCAGCTGTTTTCCGCCTTTGGCTTCGGGGCGTTTAGCTAACAGATGAGTTGATTGATTTGCGTGTGCGCCGCCTCTCCATTCGAATCCGGTTCCAATTGATGTCTGAGCTCATTGCTTCCACTTATCTGTGACAGGAGGGAAGCACCAATGCCGTGATGTGTATGTGCTTTCTCCAACCTAAGCCCAAAGAAGCAAGGGAAGATGGCAGAGAAATGAAGACACCTGACCTGCTTGCTGCTGTGTTATTCCCTAAGAGATCCTTTGCATGAAGGTTCCAGAAGGCTGTTTCAGTCTTTGAGTCTTTGTCTGTTTCTCTCTCTCTCTCTCTCTCTCTCTCTCTCTCTCTCTCTCTCTCTCTCTCTCTCTCTCCCTGTAGCTGTCTTCATTAGAGTTTCTATTGCTGTGAAGTGGCACCATGACCATGGCAACTCTTATAAAAGAAAACATTTAATTGAGATTGCCTTACAGTTCAGAAGTTTAATCCATTATCCTCACGGCAGGAAATATGACAGCACAGAGTTGAAGAGGTGGTGAGAATCCAGCATCTCAGTCAGCAGGAATGAGTTGCTAGGCCTGGCTTGCATTTCTGAGGCCTCAAAGCCCACCAGTGGCAAGCGTCCTGCAACAACACCACACCTACTCCAACAAGGCCACACCTCCTAGCAGGCCACTCCCTTTGGAGGCCTTTTTGTTTTTCAAGCCACCATATCCTACTCCCTGGCCCCTACAGGCTTGTAGCCATATCATAATGCAAAATGCATTTAATCTAATTTCAAAAGTCCATAGACTATCAGAGTCTCAAGTTTCTTCAAAAGTTCAAAGTCTGTTCTGAGATTCTTGCAATCTCTTAGCTGTAATCCCCTGAAAAATAAAAATGAAAATCAGATCACATACTTACAACAAGCAATGCCATGGAATATACATTACCATTCCAAGAGGGAGGAAAGAGAGCATAGTGAGAAAATGGACCAAAGCAAGACCAAAAACCAGTTGGTCAAACTCCAAACTCTGCATCTCCACGTCTGATGTCAAAACACTCTGAATCTCCAACTGCTTTCAAGTAAAACACACCTTTCTCTCTTGGGCCGTTTCCACTCCCTGCAAGCAGCTCTCATCAGCAGGTACCCACGACTCTGGCATCTCTAACATCTTGGGGTCTCCAAGGCGATCCAGGCTTCACCTTCACAGCTTCATACAAAAGCCTCCCTAGGCCTCCATGCAGGAACACCCCTGACACCTGCCTGGCCTCAGTGGCTTTCTTTAGTCAGTGAGGAAGATTCCATGGCTCTTTTCTTCTATCCTTGACTCTAAAGCCATAATCATGAGGCCAAAGCTGACAAGTTCTTCCGTTTGCTGGAACTGGAACATGACTCCTTTGTTCAAACACATTTTCACCAGCTTTTTGTTTTCAATGGTTTCCTTTACTGGCTAAGCTTGGCTGTCCTGGAATTCACTCTGTAGATCAGGCTGGCTACAAACTCAGAGATCTGCCAGCCTCTGCATCCAGAGCCCTTTGATTAAAGGCGTGCACCACCACAACAGACCCTAAACTTTTCTTTAATTCCTTTTCACAAGTTGGAAGCTTAGTTGGGTGAGATCTTACCAAGTCACCACACCCTATATTCCATTTAACTCTAGATGTTTCTCTAATCTGTATACCTCCTTGAACACAGGATTTAGTTCTATTCCACTCCCCGGTACCTCCTTTCTCCTTAATATGTACATTTTGTATTTTTCTTTACTTAGCATGTTCCTTTTCATTACAGATCTACATAAGAGTGAACACTAATAACCACACAGCAGAGTCAATACTAGGCCATTTAGAGATTTCTCTCTGCCAACATAATTAAGCTAAAACTCTACAATTTAGCCTCAGTCAGACTTTTCCAAGGGCAAAGAACAGCTACATCCTTTAGTCAAAACATCACAAGAATGATCTCTAGGCCACATGCAACTATTTTCCTCTGTCCCTACAGTTCAAATCACCCTTAGCAACACTGCCTTCCAGCTTCCTTAGTATGGTCCATTAAGGCCCACTTAAAGCATTTAGCTTCTTTCCTAACCCAAAACCCCAAAGTCCACATTCCTTCAAGCAGAAACATGGTTGGCCCATCACAGCAATACCACAGGCCCTGGTACCAACTTCTGTCTTAGGGTTTCTACTGCTGTGAAGACCGCAGTTCTAGATTGTTCATTCATTTAAAATAGTCACTGCTGTTGATATTGTTAGTGTTTATTGTTTATTATTGTTATTATTCCCATTATTATTATCATGTATGCATCCATGTTATGTGTATGTGGGCACACGTACCACATACGTACACATGTATGTGGAGAGATCAGGAAACAACTTTGCGGATTTGACTCTCCCCTTACACCTGCCAGTAGCATGATGGAATATGGGTTCTGGGGATTGAATCCAGTAGACGTACATAGCAAGCGTTTTTCCTCCGTAAGCCACCTTACTTGTCCCCAATATACAAATTTTAATACTACATTTACTTTTCTTAAATATCACACCAAAATATTTATCCTGATTCCTGAGCTTGGGGGCCGCTCTTTGATTTTGTTTTGATCATTTCTCTCCTTCATCCTTGTGCAGGATCCTTTCTTCAAATCTCTTCTAACGCCTGAGCCCTGGGCTGGGTGGTAAGAAAGAGTCTGTCTGTAAAGCACTGCAAGCTGCTGCTGAAAGGGCAAGAGCGAGAGGACCTTTGTCCGGGATCCCCATTCTCAGCCGCCTTGTAAAGTCCTTGGGTCATACCTAAAATTAGGAAAAGACTGACTGCACCCCTTCCCAAAATACTAACCTTCCTTAACCCCGCTTTGTGCCCCAGATCAGATGCGTTTGAGCGCATCACTAAGTACGGCACAGCCTGGTAAGATCACTCTGTATCTAGCAACTTCTCTGTCTGAAACTGTAGAGAAAACTTCTGGTTTGAGATAAGAGGACTTTCCTTTCTTTCTTTTTTTTGTAGTCTTAAATATACTCAAATCCTCCACCTATATTAAATCTAGATAGATAGATAGATAGATAGACAGACAGATAGATAGGGATTATATATATGCATATATATGTATATATGCACATAGATAGATAATAGATAGATAGATAGAAAATAGATGGATAGATAGATAGATAGATAGATAGATAGATAGATATAGGCAGGCCGATAGATTTGCAATCTTAATGCCATAAACTATACCTGCACTTGCACTTGGGTGACCAGAAGTGGCCAGAAACAGACTGGTATTTCTTCCCCTCTTCCTCTCAGTCATGACTCCATTTATCTTCCATGCTTCGCCTTCTAAAACTTTGACATTTTTTCCCCATGGAGCCACATTTATAACCAGATCAACATCAACACCAACAGTGTACTACTGCACAATTTTCACATGCAGCCGTGTTTACACTGTTTACAGGTAAATGGATAGAACTGGAGATCGTACAAAAAAACATACACAAAAAATAATGATCACATTTTCTCTCATATGTGAAATCACAACAAAATAAAATTTAATCTAAAAGAGTTCTAAATTTAAAAAGGAGAAAATACAGGGAACAATTTGAGGTAAGGAAGAGACCTAGTGAAGGAAAGAGAGGGTACTATTGGGTTTTTTTCACTCTCTTGGTGGCGTACTACCCAGCTCCCAGACAAATACACGAACACTTATTCTTACCTATGAAAGCCTGGCCATAGCTTGACTTGTTTCTAGTCAGCTTTTGTACCTTACGCCGCTGGGCTTTTACCTTTCTCTATTTAATTTTCCTTTTTTGCCTTCTTACTCCATGGCTGGTTGTGTGGCTAGGGAACTCACCCCTGGCATCCTCGTTCCTTCTCCTCTTCCCGATCCCCTGTCTTCTCTTCTCTCTTTATTCTCTCTGCCTGCCCACCCAGTCTATTTCTCTATCCTGCCTAACTGTTTGCTGTTCAGCTGTTTATTCGACCAATCATGGGTTTGGGGCAGGCAAAGTAACACAGCTTTATAGAGCTAAACAAATTTAACACATCTTTACATCGTCAAACAAACACTCCACAACATAAACAAATGTAGCCCATCTTTAACTAATATTCCACAACAAGAGGGGGTGATTGTTACCAGAATAGAACCAGTGAGGGCATGAGAGAGGGTTTATTATACTGTGCAATGATAGATACATAAGAAAATGACACAGTGAACCCATGTTTTGAAAAAGACAATTCTGTCGCTAAAAGTGGACAATAGTTGCCATGCAACCCCAGTTGACCACAGTCACGACCTTTGAAAAATGAAATTGCCGTTAAGTGAACTTGCAGGAACTATTCAGCTTGCCCATTCTGCTTGTCATACGGGATCACACCAATTACTTATTGTAATGTTATGCCCCACCGGAAGCAACTTGTTCCACCACAGATGGAAATCCATAAGACTATGAGCAAAACTAAACCTTTCATCAAATGGTTTTTCTTGGGCATTTTGTCATAGTCACTCAGATTTGATCTGCACAGTGGCCCAAAACATGTCCACTAGCGCCAGACTGCATCTGTTCTTCCGTGTTTTATACACTGATTTCTTTTAACATTAATATCCTGATACTTTGGGAGTCATTATTAATCAAAATAAATATATCTTCACACAAGCATTATGGTTCTTAGTAAACTCAGATGTCTACCGAGTGACTAGTGGAAGGGTAACATATAGAAATTAGGAAAACTAGCAAGGGGTCTGGATAGGACGTAGATAATGGTGTTAGATTTTTATCATGCGTACTATAATAAAGGTACTATTTAAAACTACAAAATACTTATGTCTAGAATTTTCCACTTGGTAGCATTGCACCATGGCTGTGCTTTTGGTAACTGAAACCACAGACCCCTGCACAGCACTGCATTTGAGTTGGTTATATCTTGAATTGCTCAGCTCTCTGAGGGGAAGATGGCCAAACAGCAGCCATGCAGGTGAAACCCACTGCATCTCAGAGCAAACCCTGACTCCCTCTGCTCCTGGGGCTGTCTGAAGAGGAAACAAACACATGGAGAGATGGCAAAAATGTGCTATTTTTGTGAAAGTGCCTTTTTAAAATTAAATTTTTAGGTAATGACCCTTGGAAACATGAAAGTAACCCTTGTGGGGTACCAAGCAAGGTTCAGTACATGCACACATTGTTTAATGCTCAAATCAAGCTACACATATCTCCTCTAATAACTACTGTTTCATTGTAGTGAAAGCATTCATTTTTTTTCTCCTGGATTTTGAAATGCAAAGTATATTATTGTTAATTAAAATCACCCTACTGTGAAACGGAAGACCAGAATTTCTTGCTCCTGTCTAACCGTATCCTGGTGGCCCTTGATTAACCTGCTCCATCTGTTGTCCACACAAGTACCCCCAGCCTCTAAAATGACCAT